CATAGAAGGGGAAAATATCGAGACGGATCGACCATCAAAGAAGATGAGCGACAAGAGACTAGGACCATACGAGATACTGGAGAAGGTTGGAGCGGCCGCATGGAAGCTGGATTTACCGGACACGGACCAAAGACATCCGGTGTTCAACGAGTCACTGTTGACACCCTATCACGAACCACCCCCCCATCGCCGAGAGAAGAGGCCTGTAGCCAAGATGATCGGAGGAGCAGAAGAGTGGGAAGTCGAAGAGATTGTGAAAGAGCGAAACGTTGGCCAAGGAAAACAGTTCTTGGTCAAATGGAAGGGATGGCCGCACAGCGAGAACACCTGGGAACCATCACGTCTACGCACTCCTCCCCCTTCACTTCGGCCTTCTCCCCGCGGATGTGGTCTACTGCCGTACAGGCTCGTACCAGATGCCTTTGCGCTCATCCGCACCACCCCTCTTCCCAGTCAGGCATTGGTCCTCGCCTCCGATGTCTCCACTGGCTGGCCCGGCACTGGCCTGGCCACTGGGCTCCTCCAGTGTGGCCTTCCACTATTGGTGTCTCAGGAGCTGGCCATCACTGGCCCCTCTGAGCCACTCACTATCTTATCTGGGTTTGTCATTATCTACTTGTCATCTGCCATTGTTCCATGGCAGTGATATCCCATCATCATCAGTCACTTGTCACAGCTGACTATATAGTGTGACACCTGGGCACATGGATCCTTGAACCGTTCTCTAAGGATCCCCCTCTGTGCTCAGGTGAGTAGTATACCTCCCTTGTATTTGATAGTCTCTAAGGATCCCCCTCTGTGCTCAGACTCATGTGAGGTTGTTGTGTGCTGTGTGCTCTCTTCCTTCGGGCTGGCAGGAGTTGCCCTTACAAATATGATATGAATACAAAAATTCTGTATTGTACTCATATCCATATCATATTCACCAGGGAGGTCTCATATTGTATTTCTAGTAAATCGTATTTATATTGGACCGCTGAATACAAATATGATATGGATATATTCAAATATATTCTACTTCTCATGAATTTTAATGAAATCCGTGTAATTCACCCCCTCTGCAAGCCCTGATCTCGACCATTCTTTAGTAACAATATCCACGGACGCTGTTTCTGTGGTCATAGATGACTGAGCATCAGACAGGGTGTGTTTCAAGCTCGAAAACAGGCGCTTGACAGAAATACTGACACCAGGAATGGCAAGAACATCCTGCGCAACATGCCCCATATGTTTCAATGTTCCCAAATTCTCCTTCCAGAAAGCTTCAATACTGTCAGGAAAAGGAAGAAAAAGCCTTACCTTCCACCACTTGAGAGGATCGTCAAGTGGCCATTGTTGCGCCCACAGTGATGGAAAGAGATTTTATCTTCTGGTGCCTGTCTGTTTGCAGATGTGGTGCTTCTTATTCTATCCCCGCAACTATGCAGCAGACTGATCCGTTTGTTCCTAAGCTGCCGCAAAGGTTGCTGGCATGAATGATCAGTGATGCCTGATTGCTGATCCTGTTATAATCATATCCAAGGATATTTGAATACATTGAACACCATATTGTATTTTATCAATATCGTATCATATCATATTCACCTGTATTTGTATTCAGTTGTAAGGTCCAAGACCGTATCGTATTCATGCATATTTGAATATATTCAAAATTAAATTTTTCGTATCATATTTTTGGCCAGCACTAAATCTGCCCAGGCTGCCTAAAGCCAAAACTTTGCCGCCCACCGCCCATCCGCCCGCTACCATTTAGGTAGGTTTTGGACGCCGAAAAAACCTACCTAACTGGTAGGACTTGGGGGGTGACCAAGGTGCCACGCACACTATTTCAACGGACTTTCAGATCAGTGCGTCTTGCGAGGTGTGAAGAACCCCTTACTTTCCCCGGAATTCCTGGCCCAGCGAAGAAGGTGCAGGTTGTGGAATGTCTTGGAGCTCTGGGCCGCAAGGTTTGAATATTCATTGAACCGGCACTAGTTGGGAGGGCGACCTCTAACACCTGAATTTATTCCCGCTCTCAAAAGTCTATACTATTCACGTTACACGCGACGGTGACAGTCTATTCCCGCTCCACTGACACACTATCCCGATCCACGTCCCTGAAAACTACGCACAACGAGTGAGCTCCTTGGTCCTCGAAACACCCACAAACCAAACTGCACTCACATGCCCAGATCAACACTGCACTGAGCAGCAGCACACCCGCAAGCGCGACGAACGGCCAGATCAAATTCGGGTCGACGAACACCGGGGATATGACGAGCATGATCGCCGATGAGATGGCGTTCGTGAACAGCACCAGGCCCATCACAACCCCTTTCATATTCCGCGGGGCACTCGTGTACGCGATCTCGTATGCCGTGACGATGATGAATATCTGGCGCGCGCAGTCAGTCCGAGTCAGTCACCCAGCCGGTTCTCGAGCGCCGCACCTCGGCCAGCGCCGGCAGCGCGTACAGCGGGATCTGCACCCAGACCGAGATCGGCGAGACGCCCGTCCCGATCGTGCACGTCGACGCGTGATATCCGCACGGCGAGGTCTGGTACACTCGCCATTGGACGACCGCCCCCATGACCATCGCGGCTGCTGTGACGAGGAATCCGAAGACGATGCGGCGGATCGGCGAAAAGTTGATTCCGACGTGCCGCAAAGCGGGGTAGACGAGGAAGTTGAGGAGCGGGATCGCCACCACGATGGTAAGCGCGTTGAAGTTGGACAGAAGATCGTTAGGAGCCCCATCGGTGGTCATCGACGCGCCTTGATTGGCCAATATCACGGAAACTCCGCCGTCCGCACTAAGTTCAGTACATTAGCCAAACAACTGATCGTGGATCGGATGCATACTTGCAGACTGAAGATAGGCAGGAATAAAAATAGTTTGCAAGCCTTGATGGTTCGTTTCAACTCATCCACGAATTCTGGATGTCTGTTAGAGAACTATTCATTCAACAGATAAGGACTCTACCGTCATCCCATCTGATCCGACTCGTTCTCTCGAGCTCATCAGAAGTCGCGAAAGAGGTCTGTGGGATGATCAGTTTTCTACCACGAACAGCACAAAGCTGCGACAAACCGGTTTCGCCAGATTCCAGTTATCTCCGCCTTTCAACATACCCTTCAGTCCAGCGCGTTCGAAGATGGTTCTGCCGGATAGATCAATCAGCCCCCATGCACTCGACGCCGCCGATGAGTGCGAGAGAAAGTCACCTAAACACCCGGAACGCATCCAGCACGACCGATCCTTGCGGAGGGAGTCGCACAAGCTTGGGATACACGATGACCAAAGTGATCGGCATGAGCATGTACAAGATGCCGGGAACCTTCGATTTCGAAGAATCAGCCTCGCGATTCAGCCTCGGAAGCAGGGCTAGTCAGCCTACCAGATAGGCGAGCCAAAATCCAACTCTCTTTTCCGCGTAGCTTCAAGATTGGGTTTGATGAGCACGCGCGGATGACAGGTGTGGTGCAGCAACCTCTGACCTTGTCGCGACGGAGAAAAAGCCGCCGATGTTGACCGACCAGTAGTATATCTAGCGAACGGTCAGAAATAAATATCACCAGTGATGATTGGAACAGGACAGACCATGAGCATGCTTTGGATGGTCTGCCATCAGAATTGAGCAAAGCAGCGAGCAAGACTCTGAATGACTCACAGCCCCCGGATCGACGATGACTTTCTCGCCAGACGGAAGGACAACGACAGACTGGGACATCACGGTCGACTGATCGACGATAATAGGCGCAATGCAAGTCTGCGAACGCGTGAGGTTACATCACAGCAACTTACGAGAACTAGGTCTGGACTGGACGGACCTTGATGCACCCAGTGCCCAGCGCGAGCAGAAGAATGGAAACGATGAACGGAGCCAACGCATGGCCAGCGGAAATGACAGCTGGGAGGGCACCTGGACCAGACGCGTTAGGTCATCAATCACGCAAGGGCCACCACGCACAGAGAACGAGCGTCACATGCGCGACCGCGCCGATGGCTGTGCCGATGCAGATTGTCTTGAAGCGGCCCCATCGCGTGTCTGCGAGGATCCCGCCGACAATGGGGAGCGTGTACGCGAGGAACGTGAACATCTGGGACAGCCCGGTCGCTGCGACGAGGCCCAGGCCCAGGGCGCCTATTCATACGCAAGTGAGCGGGGGCAGAGATGGCCTCATTGTAGCGCGGGGCGCACCGGCAGTCTCCTGTGTCCCTCTAGGTGGGGCGCCGGCTCCGTTGCCGCCTTCGGGAAGTGGCCGTTGGATGAAGTTGGCGAAGACTCCCGCGCATCCGTAGTACGAAGCCCGTTCCGCGAACTCTACCAGGCAGATCAGGTACGCTGCCCACGGGATCCGGCCAGCCACGCGGCGGAGTGTATCTGTGCAGGCAGAGAGAGTTAGAGCTGGTCACGCGTGGGGGCATGCATCGCACACACTCTGCTCCTCGGCAGTGGGCAGACGCGCCATCGCCTCTGACGAATTCGCGAATGGGAGGTCGCGTATTTTGGCCAGCGAGTCCGACGAGGCTTTCTCACATGTGGTCGACATCGCGGCGAATCTGGGGAAGGAGAAGGAAGAGAAGAAGAAGCTGGTCAGCATCGGTGCAAGGCGGCCACGGACCAGCCACGTACCTGGCTGAGTGTATGCACCGGAAGGAGCCCGAGAAGGAGCGGGTATGTGTGTGCACCACCCCGCGCAAGCAAGCTTCTTATATGTACGCGGGTCGATCCCCAGAAAATCCTCCCCGAGCGGTGCCACGCCGTCACTCGTAACACACCACATATGAGCACACAAGGTCAAGGCCAGGAACATTAAACGTCGGAGGAGATACAGGGAGATACAGCCCCGCCCCACATGGTAAGCTCGCCATCGGACCCACTAGATGCACGCCCCGGATGGGAGACAAAGGAGTTGTGTTCGCTCGCTGATCCCGCTAGTGTGGGACATAGTGCGTGTTGCGCGAATAAGTCCCTCAGGTACCCCGGCCGAACACGCAACGCTTTACATAACATACTTGGCGCGCCGGGGCCACCAGATGCATGGGGCTGCGCTGGAATCGCATCGAGGCGGTCAGCCATTGAGTCGTGCTGTCTGCGGCGTGCGCGGTGATCTCGATAGCGCGCGACGGGAGGCAGACAAAGGACACAATTATTCGGGGGGACGGTTCAAGAAGCTTGCGACGTGAATGCGTCAATGGAGCGCCATGGGGACTGGATACCCGTTGGAGCACTTGAGAGTCTTGTCCCTCGGGATGAGCCGGCCCGCCCGCCGGACCCCCCGGACATCCGGCAAAGAAGACCAGCCGTTTCAGCCATGCTCAACTTCAAAGCTTCCCAACCTCGGTGCCTTGAATTGAACCGAGTTACCTTGTAGTACCGCCACGGGCGTCCTCGGGGCTCACTGAATTAGTAAAAATTTTGTTACCTCTTCTTCCGCGCCAGATTCCGCGACCTGTGGACTCGGAAGGCAGTGTTGCCGCCACATCCGGCCTCATTTTTTCTTTCTTCTTTTTTTGAATTGTTACGACTTGGCGCGCGTCTTCAGCAGCATATGTGTCTGCAACAAAAATATGTAATGTTCTGATTTCTGAACAACACACCATCGACAGGCTGCGACTGACGAGACAGCGGGACGCGTGTACAACAAGGTTGAACAGCTGACTTGGGCAGCAGGACAGTGGGTGCTAATGGAATGCAGATTCGTGAGCCGATACAGATACATACAGTATATGTGCGGATGTGTATATATTGTCCATCCGTGCCTAGATACAGTAGGTCTAGTAGTAATCATTCAGTGGTCGTAAATCCTGGATTCGTTGTGGGATCGGCGCGTCAGCAGCCATCGTAGAGACTGTTTCGTGGGAAGGTGTATCCGGCTTGCGCCCAGGTCGTGAGATTCGCATTGGAGTATGCAGCAATGTGGCTGCAACGCGCTGTCAGCGGAAGCTCCTCGACAGCCAGCCAACCAGCAAGCACCCACCTCGCAATGTAATCCGCCGTCGGGTATTTTGGCGGGTCGCACGTCAGCCCATCTTGGGTGCCCTCCAGCTGGTACACCCGCACATAGTCGATGAACATCTTGGCGGGGAACACCATATGCAGGAAGTCCTGTCCCTGGAACGACGGGGACATCCCCAGATTGAAAATCATGTACTGCAAACGGTCATCAGTGGCTGGCAGATGCGAGATGCGCCGTCGCTTGCCATTGGTTCTTCTGGAATCAGCCGCGCAGAGACGTTCGCACCGCTGTCTGCACCAACAGAAGCAGCCGTCATCGTCCATCGCTTCTCTCCAGTCGTGAGCCAGTTAAGGTATCCACTCGATCGCTTCGCCGGATTCGAGTACCACTCGAGCCCGTAAGTCTGGTAAGCGTTCCCGCCATAATACTGCGCGTCAATATACGTCAGCGCCGACACCGTCTGCTGGTACTGGTTCCCGTGGTAGTTGTTGAACTGCGTCATGCTGGAGTTGACGATGGGCGTGGCCTGGCTGGAGTTGTCGAACAGGCGGTTGAGGTTGTACGGCGCGACTTGGAAGCTCTGCGACGCCTGCCCCTGGAAGTACGGCGCACTGCCAAGGATCTCAATCTGCGCCTCGAGCAGGTCAATCTCCGGCACGCCTCTGCCCTTGGTAACAGCAGGGCCCGGGTGGTCAGAGCCTGGGCAGGTGCATGCTGATAGCCGCTGCCCAGGAAGGAAACTCAGATGCGAGTCGAACGACGCAGAGGGCTGGTTGTCCTTGGTCGTCTGATTCGGGAACGTCCCCGTATCGCAGGAGTCGTAGCTGTATGGCCACATTCCCTCGGTTGTTGCGCCATAGCCAGCGCGGCCGAGATTCCCCATCAGCCACGCACCGGGCCAGAAACCTGGCTGATCCGGAGCACCGGGAAGGCTGAGCGAGACCTCGACATAGGCTGTGGTCATGCAGATCTTGTTCCAGGATTGGAGCATCCCTTGTAAGGTATCAGGACCCACGCGCATGATGCAAAGATGGTAAATGGGTCACCGCTCATAAAGTTCAGCCCATGGTTGTCGGTGTAGTTCACCTCGCTCATCGTGATCACCAGCTTGCCGTCCTGCGTGGTAATGGCCTGTGGAGCGCATTGGAACACGATCACAAGTGGGCATATGCCACTACGCACCGCCGGGTCGTACCACTCCAGATCTCCCGTAGGCCAATAATGGAAATCGACCGCTGGAGGCGACTCAGCTGGGATCAGATAAGCATGGTGGAGGCAGCTCACCTTCCCAGTAGGGATCGTCGCCGGGGAAGAATGTCCGCCCATCAGTGTTGAATTCGTCGCTGAACGCGAGTCTGTACTTTTTCCCGTCCGTCCCTGTATGCGTATAGGCGTTGGAAGGCGTTTCCGAGTCGATCAAGCTTGGAAACTTGGTAAGTTCGGGGACCTGCCCCGACGCGTTGATGCCCCCAATGTTGTAGCCCACGAATTTCCGTGGTGGGTGGCCAAAGTAGTATATCAGGGGGAACCCTGCAAAGAGGGTCACGAGCCCACCAAACAGCACGAACAGGGCTGTCACAGTGGCCCAGCCGCGCGCGGAAAAGAAGTACAGCTCGTGCTCCATCCGCGCATCGGCCACAGGATCGGGGTTGTGCAGCGCGTCGTCGAGGTCCAGGTTCTTTTCGAAACGCGTGTTCACGGTCGTCGTGCGCGTGAGATTGGGGCGGACCGTGGAGGGCGCCTTGCGCAGACGCGTCCCCTCCCCGGGATTGCTCCGATTGATCTCTGGGTCAAACTAACGCAGGGTGAGCGGGGGAGCGGGAGGAACGCGTTGCGAGTGCCCGCGGGCACACGCACGCACACACGCACCGAATACGGCCCAAAATCCGCCCCGATGGATCCTGACGCTACACCGCGCACGAGCGCCGCCCCCGCCCTCCCCGTGCCCCGTGCCTGCGCCGGTCGTTCTGCATCGCTCGGTGCGACTCCGAAGCCTGTGGGTGCACGTGATGATGCTGGCGTGCGTCGAGTGCGACTCCGCGCGGGAGGACTGCCGGGGCTTTGTGGTGGTGAGCCCAAGGGAACGGCCGCGTATTGGAGACTCGGCTCGGGTGTCGTTACGCGTGGAGGGGGTTTCCGGGTGATCTTAGACTTGTACGAGGACATGGAGCCAGAGAAACAGCTGCGGGGTCCAAAGGCGGAAAAACCAAACCTCGTGGTCGTGATGGGTTTGCTCACACGTGCTCCCACGCGCTGATGATCAGTGATGACGCGGACATGGACTGGACTTGAAATCCAGCAGCTTTCCTTTTTGTCTTCGGCGCAATATGAGTGCGCACTGTGCGTAGGCCAACATCCTGCACCTGCGCCAACTCTGAACACGAGAGTGCGCTCTCAGGCCATTCTCAACTTGAATTCACCCATGGATCATGGACTCCACTTCACATCTCGTCACCATATCCCCATGAAGGTCCTTCAGCTGTACAAGCCTCCTGCGAGACCTCGAAGGAGTATTTCCTGAAGAATAATCGCGCCCTCGAGGGAGGAAAGCCGAAAGCAATAGGATCAGAAGCAAACGGCAAGGTCCATCTGAGTCGATCTGACAGGCCGCACTCAGCAGCAATGGCACAAAAGTGTTATTCTCGTCTGAAACCCGGATTCATTGTTCATTATCATGATGGTACAGCTACAACTCAAGCGGCCAACGCGGCTGCCAGCAGATTGGAGAAAATGGGTGTTCCCAGTCCAGCTGTGAGGTCATCAGTCTCCGAAATCGATCGGCTAAGCAGCATTCACTCACTCAGCGGGTCCCAGCCAGTCGTGGCGTCAAATGCAACCGAGGCAGCAGGGCATACGAAGCCCGAGTTGTGGCCAGTCGTGATATCCGTGAACGCGCCGGGGTTGGCATACAGGAACGGGTTCAGGAATCCGAGCACGGGTTTGCCTGCGGCAATGAGGCGGTCGTTGATCAGCGCGATGATGCCAGCGAACGTCGGGGACGACGCGCTGGTTCCGCCGATCAGGTTCGCCACACCCTCGATGATCACCTCGAAGTTCCAGCCCTGGAGTGCAACGTCAGGGTATCCACGCCCGGTGCGGGTGAAGGTGCCCTTGAAAGTCGACGGGACAGTCTTCAGGAAGGTGGCCACTTGCGTGGTCTGGTACGACGGGGCGGTGAAGACGCTCGAGAATCCACCACCGGTGAAGTTGATCGCTTTCTCAGGGATACCTTGGGTCGAGCCGACGGACGTCAGGAACGGACACGCCGCCGGGAACACTGGCATGAAGCGGTTGTTGTTGCAGACACTGGTCGTGTCGTGGTTGCCTCGCACACCGCCCTGACACAATCAGAATCGAGAACAGCACTCAAAATGAGCACTCACATCACCGGATGCAAAGATGACAGAGATTCCGCGGGTGCCGAGTGCCATATAACCATTGCAGATTCGTCTGATCATGACTCCTTAGTCCGATTGCACTACACAGCTGCCATGAAACAACGACTCACGTTGCCAACGAGCTGCCGAATGAGGATTCAGTGGACCCGTACGATGTGGTCATGACCGTGGGAGGGCTGGCGACACCGTCAAGGAAGGTTGTGGTATCGAGCAGCGCAGTCGAGAAGTCGGCATTTCCGACGGACAGGAAGGTCGCAGGGACGCCGGTAGCAATACCTGGCCTCAGGTGAGTACAAACCGGGGATAGGAGGAACTTGAGACTCACCGACAGTGTACTCGATATCCAGATCAGCCTCGTCACCAGCCTCCCCGGAGCCCTGTGGGTTGGATCCTCCATCAAGAGTCTGGAGTTTGAACGTCGTCGAGGAAGAGATGTCCGTTCGCAGGGTCTTCAAGAACGACTGGCAGAGTATCAGCAATCAAGAGCATGGACGCAGCGGTTGCTCATTCCCACCTGCAAATCAGCGGTTTCTGCGAACTGATCGACGTATCCCGTGATGAGTATCGAGCTGTTCTTCTGAGTGGCGGGAGTCGCGGGGATTCCGTACAGCGCTTGCAGGCACGCCGGGGTGATGACCCCGGTGGCGACGTTCGTGTTGCACGACGCCGGGGCGGCCCGCTTCGCCTGGGGCACGTTCATCTGGATCGGCGACGGCGCGAGTCTGGGCTGGGGCTCGACGAACGCCGTCGAGGGGTGGATGACATCCACCACGCCGACCATCTCGCTCGGGAGCGACACGGACATCGTGCGCGTGATCTTCTCGGTCAGCTGGGGATGCGAGAAGAGCTCGAAGTTGGCGTTGAAGAGGTCGTTGGCGTGCGAGACGGGGAGCGTCGCGGTCACCCAGTCGCCGTTGGGTGAGATCGCCGTCGTCTTCAGTCCGTTCGCCGTGGCGAAGGCATTGAACGCAGCAACAGTGGCTGCAGATGGCTCCATGAAGGACTTGACCTGGTCAATCCAGTCAGCGATCCAGATATTCAAAGGGTTGACGCTGGTAGCGAACCTCTTCCATCGTCAGCCACTGGCGGAAGTTCTCGTTCCCTGGTGTCGAGAGCTCCATAAGCTTGGCCTGGAGGCCAGCAGCGTTGTTGGGAGCCAGACCGAAACGCAGCTCCAGCTGGTCAGCAGCGGGGGCAGGTCCATGGCTGACGAATCCGGCAGGGATGGAGGTCCTGCTCTCGTGCAGCACCGTCAGTCCCTTGGCAGCCGCCGCCGCAATCGCAACAAGGATGGTCAACGCTTG